CCAATTTACGAGTGCCTGGAAAAGCTGACCGAACCGTCCGTGTACCGATCCCGCTTGAACACAGCCCTGTCGGCCAGCATCCAGGAGGCCATCGCATCTAGTGACCGACCACCCCGGAGCCTGTCGCCTAGGCCACCACCCGCCGCCGAGCCTGTCCAGTACGCATCGCTGATGGAGGAGTTGCAGAAGACCATCGGCAACAGACTCTCCAAACACGTTGAATCGCCCGAAGAGAGGTGAGTGGAAAATCGGTCACTGCAGACTACGTTTATACTGCACAGTGATGTTCCCAAAACCTGATTTTTGGATTTTTTACTATCTTTGTTTAATAAAGTAAATTTTATTAAATGCTTAATATACTCTTGGACATTTGAGATTTGATGGTCTGTAAATAGTACCTACCTTGTAGTGATTCTGGTGATGACTATCCTTTATAAATTATTCAGCAGATGATATTTTTTTTACATAATTTTAATCTATTTTATAATCAACATTTTAACGAGTGATGTCAGAATTGTTAAACTTATTATGTGTACTTACTAAGGATAAAAATATATTATGAGCTTTTACTATATAAAATATATTATTTCAATAAACATTTTGTCCATATTTTCCTAAAACAGTTTATAGATAATAGATTCGTTTCAACATAAAATAAAGCTATTGTTTAATTTTTAATTGATTTTCAAATTATAGTAGWTATGCCAATATTCCATACTATTTTATTAGCATTTTTAAATTTTTAAAATAKCSTGGATAGTGACTAATAGAAACGACTAAGCAAAMAAAAAAAAATAAAACTTCATATATATTAAATTWATTTAAAATAATTAAACAATCGTTAATAATTATTAACTTTTGCCATAGTATTGAAACCCAGGATAGTACGTCATGGACAATTATCATTATTAGGTACCTGTATATGTAAAGTTTAATAAATCATAAACACTTCTTTCAAATTCTGGTTAAAATGTGTTATCATTAAAAAAAAAAATATCATCTGCTCAATAACTTATATATAAGTTTTATAAGTAAAAAGGGTACTTCTTATTTGAAAAGCTTAAGTCTAAATCGTTCAAAACGTCTCAAGCACGTATTCGAAAATTGTCTCTTAATTAAATATATTTAAAAATTCAGATTTTGAAGAGTACAGTATTAAAGAAAAGGGGAAAATTAAACGATCTGCTGTAAAGTAGAAGTCAAGTGTCTCATCATTAATTAAACTTTATAATGGGTGTATTTAATTTGAATCCAACGATAGATCATCGCAAACGAAAAAGGATTTTAAGCGAAGAYAATCAGCTAGTCTATAATACCATAAGAATCAATACATCATCATTCATCACTTACATATAAATTGATTATATTATAGACATTACTATTAATTATTACAGTACCTAATTGATTTGACTTTTAGTAAATTATATGGCACATATAAACTATGAAAAACTTATAAGCATTATCAWACAATTAATCTTAATGTTTAAAAAGTTCATTGTGTATAAATATAATAATATACG